CCTTAGGCAATTATGTCCTGCTTATATCCAGAAAAACATCACAAACTGCAGAACACAAATTGAAGGTAACGGCGAAATGGGTACATTTCACGGGTCATGAAATTCAAATGAAAATGCAGGTATAAAATCTACCAAATTATCGTTCTAAAAAAAATATTTCCTTGACATATCGATAATTTTGAAGTTCCACGCTAAATTCCCCTATACTTGACTGGAGTGATATCCGAATTCAGTCTTCCCTACTGTCGGCAGTTGCAGATAGATTTGTTGGCTCTTGGTGTCAAACCTATAGAGCAGGTACCGATTTTTTCAAATGGTGAGCACATTATTTTCATTACTTACATTTCCTGTAATCACTGGGATTAGAAGCTTCTTAATAATAGAACGTGTTCACTGATATCAGAGATACAACATTTAGAATCACCTTTCCCCAACCCCCACTATTTAAGCTGTACAATTTTTTTCTGTCAATGATAAGGAACTCCTGTAACGTCAAAAACGGAGTTTCAGCAATTGTTACTTTTTCTTTTTTGCCTATAGCACCGTTGCCACGGTGCTAAAACTACAAAGCTTTGGCATACTAGTAACGCCGTGTGGAAATTTCATAAAAATCCGAGCGGTTATTTTCAAGTTGATGAGTGATACAGTTTTTCGTGATGTAGATGTCATATGATTTAAAAAACATAACATCTCATTTTTGAAATTTTTCGCGATATTATATGAAATAGGGTCACCAAATTATCTGAATACGTCCTTTCTTAGTCCGTACATTGCGCCGCAACGCTTGGGGTGGCAGCACGAAACAGTAGACAAAATTCGTGCAAAATACGATTTGTAGAGGTTTGCGCGCTTCGAAATTGACGTTTTATTTTTTGGTATTCTTCGATGAAATTTTCACCGAGTGCTGAAAACAAAATCCCACAGGGTGCTATAGAGCCACTTTTTCATTTTCTTCACTAGGTTCTTTTTAAAAAATCGAGAAGTTGAACAGAAAAAGTGCGCACTTCAACCCATCATAAAACTTGTGCAAAAACAAAATTTCAAAAAGTGCTCATATAGCACCCTGGGCAATTATCTTCTCAACATACTGAATGAATTTCATTCAAAAATATTGAAAAATGGAGTGTCAGTTTTGAAGCAGCTGAACCGTTGTAAATGGCTTGAAACTCACTGCGTCGGAGCAGCCTTAATTATATTAATCAAATGTTGCTCTATTCTATTCACATTTTATTTGCGAACCTTTTCAAAGAAACATGAACTTCAATATGATCATTTTACTCAGATCTATAATATGTTTTCTTAAAAGGGATAAGAACCAGCACAAGGTTGTTCATAGCCAGTGCCGATAGATTGTATATGTTTTTCAATTCATGAGCCGTGAAAAGGAGGCAGGGGAAGTCATTGTACCTCTAAATCAGCAGATGAATCGAGTAGAGGTTACAGGTGTATCACTCAATGCAGTCAAACGCATTGTGAAAGAAGGTTCGATCAAACCCACAGGCAATAAATTTGTCTCCCCAAGAAAAACTGTTTCTAAACCGAAATCAACAGTGGGCAGGTTTGAGGCAGAGATAAGGGAAGTAATTTATAAATTTGTCCATATTCATAAGCGGCGTCCTACCTTTACAGCCGTTTATGAAGCTGCAAAAAATGATGGAGTAAACCTTGCGGGGAAAATCGGATCCTTAGAAAAAAATTTCATAAAATTGGGTTTTTGCTGGAAAAAAGTGGAAGATAATTGGAAACTATTGATTGAAAAACAAGACATTCGTTTAAAACGAATTGAGTTTTTAAGGAAATTGAAGAAATACAAGGAAATGTTTTGTATATTATGATATGTTTTCAGTCCATTCAGTAATAGCGATATCTATCAAAAAGTTGTCATGAGCCGTAATAGATGACTTCATATGTATTTGAAATTTTTTTATTGGACATGTGACCAAATAAATATAAAATTTAAGATTGAAGGTACATGAATACAGCAAAAATTAGTGTATATTGTATATAACAAAAATGTATTGAAAAATGATTTCAATGAAAGACTGCATACTTAACAAATGAAGATTTTTGTTTTCAAAATAATTTCCTTAAAGTTTTTAAAAGTAACAGTTTGCTCTAGAAGAGACCTTTTCGCAGGTAGGAACATTGTATACAGCGATGAGACTTACAATAACAGCTCTCATACAGTGCCAAAGTCCTTTGACGATGGGACTAAAACCTGTCTGCAAGCACCACTGGTCAAGGGAAAACGATTAATTGTGTTGCATTGCGGGGGAAAAAGGGTTTTCTACCGAATGCAGAACTTCTCTTCAAATCAGGTTTGAAAAGTGGTGATTACCACCTTCCCATACTGAATAACCCAGTCTTACTTACTTCTTCCATAATTGATTTGTCAGCTACCACCTACCTACGCTACTGATTCCATACCACACCACCCACGCGACGACGGGGAAACACACACAATGAGGAACGATTATAAGCCAGTTATATTAGCTCTAATCACGTCATTGAACATATAGGTAGGGAAACAACGTTTCGTAAGGTAATCAAATTAAATGAATATCATTCTCAATGTACCGTTAAAGAATACGCGTTCTGTAATTAATTTATGTTGTATCACCACACCAAATGATTTAATAAATATGAATGTGACAAAAATAACAGAAATAATTTGACTGACCTACAGCAGACCTAGTAACAGTTATGTTTTTAGCAATGCTTGTATTGTGACGCCTCTGCCTCTCTACAGATTGAATCCGCGCATGTCGTCTAACGGTCATGGCTCACGACGTTTTAAAAAACCTCTACCATTTTAACTTAGTACAAACATTGATAGGTCTATCATGAGACACTAGTCTGAATCAAGTATTTGATTGTTTGCACGGATAACAAAACTACATTGAGAAAAGTCTTGACCGCTAAGTAGATACTTCTCATATAGTTTTAAAGCACTATAACATATGTAACTTATTGTCTCAGAAGATTACTAGTGCACAAAAGGTTGGGTATTAGGATCGAATGATCTTTTTGGGAGCAAGACTGTTTGGGTTCAATTCGCTTGTACTTGTCGTTTACATGATTTGTAGATCCTCAGATCTGTCCACATTCTCTACACACGGGGCTTGATACACAAAATCTTGTTTTCTGTAGGACTCCCGAACGGTTTGAAAAGCGATGGAGTTCCGTTATCGGATCGTTACTAGACTACCTTATAACCCTTTCCAGGTTAAAGTTATAGAACTGAACTAAGGGTTACCAGACGTATCAATAAACCGATAGCTTAACAGACTGACGGAAATAAGGGTTAGTCTTAAACTTTATCGAAAAAAGCATACGATGACATAGTACGTAAAGCATTCTGTATTCTGTGACCAAAGTGCTAATTTATTGTAACACAGAAAAATATGAACCCATTGTCTGGCCGAATCATTCCAGATTTTTGCTTAAATTCCTGCTTATTGTATGACGGTTTGGCTACCACGTTGGCTGTTTTCAAGTACAATGACAATAATGACAGTCTATTTTATTTATTTGTCTTCCAGCTGACAGTCAATTCATTCTTTCTTCTCTGCTTTCCTATACAGTGTGTTGTGACAAGCCATCATCACAATTTTAAGATGGCACCAAGTAAAACCAGAAAAGCCCAGAATCGCCTGGAGTAGGCATTTCTGCTCCCAAAAGATGCCTAGCCCCCCAAACTTACAAGTGAGCGTGACGTTATCTGACGTTTTTAAAGGAACCATTCTCGCCATCCTCGTTTAACGTCCCTAAAACGCCAAAAGTCTCCCTAGAACGTGAAAACCCACCTAGATGAGCGGTTGTCGCAGCATACCGGTTAATTGTTATGCAATCTTCTACACATGCGGCATGTGCATTGTTTATGGATCTGAAATGCGAGAAATAGTATAGCATACACGTGGTTTGATTCGACCAGATAATGGAGTCCTATAAACATTATATTAAGTTTATTTCTGAATGAGGAGTGGGATATGCTTCCTTTAATATAATTTCCTTCTAACTTATATGATATGTATTGACAAGAACATGTGTTTTCCTTATAATTTTTGTTAGCAGATTACCTCAGAAAGAGAAGAGTATAATTATATTGCTAAGGACTTGAATATTTCATTTGTTATGTTGTTAGGTTGAGATCGATTTTCTTATTCTTTATCAAACATTGTTAAATAAATCGCTTGTAAGCTGTTTAAATTAATAAAAAAATGAAAATAAATAACGTTTCTATTTTCACTGTAAAAACATTCTGTTATCTCCAGCGAAAAATATCAATTTCATCAAAATGTGCGGAGTTTTGGAGCTTTTGTCCGGCGTAGGTAATTTAGATTTCAGCAACCCTATGGGGGAACATTCCCTTCGAGATTTCTTTAGTTCTTATCCAGGAAATGCAGTGCGCATGGCCAAACATATCATTTTAGCCGTTCAATACCGGGAGTCAGACAAACTGGCGCCAAAAATGTATTGCGATACTGGTCACGATCAGTTTTTGGGCAATTGATTGCGTGGTTTTACGAGGGGAGTTTCTACGTTTCAACAGATACATGTAGCTACGGCGAATCGGGACATAATCGATCTAATCCCATTCTGATTTATTTTCACCGCTCTCCTCACGCTTTGTACACTACAAATCCTAAAGCTTACTGTGAGCTTCTTTTTACTCTTCTCGAAATATGTGAGGTTTGTTATTTGAGTCGAGCAAGGCGCTTTTCTGATACAGAAAGGCCTTTGGTGATTCTTCCGAAGCTACCACCTTGCTAATCTTATAAGTCCTGATGAAAAGTCCGCATGGCCGCAGTCTGTGAAAGCTCTGTCTTAGGTTGTAAGTATGGCACTTCTAAAATGCCAGACATCGAGACAAGAACATTGGATCGAAGCATCTTTTAAAATTGTATACCTCATAGTTTCCTGCTTACCCAGTTTTAGTTTTTGAAATATCCAAGTTACACGAGCTTTTGCGATGATACACCTTTGAGGTTCATATATCATTTAATGCGATAAAACACAGCTTTATTATGAGATTAAAATAATAACATATATACTCGTAGCACCTTATATTCTATAACAAATTATAAAATACTGTTTATGAAATTCATGGATTCGGTTTCACATTGATTACAGTATATCCATTCTAAAATTATATAGTATCAAGCAGTTTCAATACTCAATTAGATATATTCATGCGATATATAAAAAAATACTTATGAAATGGGTAGTTTGTATCTTCATGCTGCAGATATTTGTTGCAGGAACCGGCCTAAAACCTGAAACAAAGCAATAAGGAGAAATCAGCAATGTATGCGTTTTGTGATTATTCCATAAAAGGAATATTATGCCTTGTTTGAAAAATCTGTTATGCATTGTCTTTTGTTGAGATCCGAAACATCGAGACTATTTCTGAAGTTATCGGGTTTTCCACTGCCACGATTGATCAAAAGAGACGCAATCCAAATCCGAAAAGGTTTAGATGAAAACAGTCATACTGGGATTTGACTCGCCACTCATTTAGGTTTGATCGCGCATTGGTTAGAAAATATCGTTATAATATTTTGGCGAAAGCTAAATACGTTTCTTCTACACCCCTTACTGACTTTAACACAAATTGCCTTACCCTAAAGTTGGAATTATGGGAAGGCCACGAACAAAATCTATATCCGCTAGTAAAATTTAAAAGTTATTTTATTTATGTTCAACAATTAAAGAACTGGTTATACAAGGTGTCCGGAAATTGAAGGATAATCCTGACCTAGTGTTTGAAAAAATTTTGTTTAGTAAAAAATCATACTGATTTCGAGATAAACAGCGATCATTTTTTTAGCAAAAATAGACGTACGTCTAGTTAAAGTGTTGCCAATTCTACAAAAATATCATTTTTTAGCCGGATTTGTGTCAAAATATCCATAATTGATTGTTCCATCGAAATTATTGTTGTTTTTTCCTATGTTGTAGCGAAATCCACATGAAAACTATTTATTGAAAATTAATTTGTACGTCTTACTTTGACATCCTGGGAATCACCTTGCCAAATACTTTAAAAAGATGTACATTTATGCCATCTTCAGAACAGTAATATTTTCAAATATTTTGTGGGCTATTTTCTTTTAACATCAATTTTAATTAAGGATCGTCTTGTGTCTTGAATAAAAAAATACTTTTATGATACGAATAAGGAATAATAGTCTAATTATATTAGCAAACTGCTCCGAAATACTTGTAAAGTCGGGTTTTATTGGTGCAAGTTATTCAAGGGGGGTATTTAAAACATGGACACATAAAATTCGTACATCAATTTTTGTGGGAAAACTTTTTATTTTCAACAAAGAATGAGAAAACGAGTTTTTTGGGATTTAATCGAAAGTGTTGAAAGGAACGAAAAAACTTTTCATACAAGATATTTAGGTATTCATGAGATCTACTAAATGAGACCATGCCTGAAAAGATACGACTACTTGCAAAAATATTATGGCCGAAAAACGAGGCAAAATGCAGGTTTTGTCACTTGTTGGTAAAGCGACTATAATTTCACGCAACTACTTGAAATTCTTCAAATCCGTAGGATTCATACATCTAAATAAAAACAACAAAATTATATAAAATGCCCTTTGAACTAACCCTGTATATAGGACAATCACCTAGTAGTGATGACCGGAAAACAGGAGTTTTGGGATAAGCAATTAGAAATTCTCAAAAACTACTTGACCGATCTATTCCAATTTTGTTGTGGTTATCTAGAAGCAGGAATTCTACGAATTTGAAGAATTTAAAATATCTGCGAGACACCATCGTCGCATTACCAAGTGCCAAAACCTGCGGTTTTCGACCATACCTTTTTGGCTATTAGTCGGATCTTTTTACGTTTGGTCTCATTTTGTAGGTTTCATAAATTCTCATTTTCTCATTCTTTGTTGTCGAATAAAAAGTTTTCCCACAAAAATTGGTGTACAGATTTTATGTGTTCATGTTTTAAATACCACCTTGACTTCGAACAACTTGCACCAATAAAAGCAGACTTTACAATTATTTCGCAAACCTGGGGTATTCTCGTCTAATATGATTAGACTATAAGGGACAGGATTGATGTTGTAGTGGTAAGTTTTCATTAAATTCTATAGACTGAGTGTTGAAAGTGATCGCGCACCTGCTCCTTTTAATAAATGATCCATTTAGTTTGCGAGAATACCTCATTTATGAAACTTCGTAAGAGGTCCATCTGATTGTGGCACAGAAATCACCTCTGCTTTCAGGAAACCCCAATAAAAAAATACAATGGACTTAGGTTCGGAGATACTGGTGGCTAATAGAGAGGACTAAGGTCTACGATGACCTAATGTTGATTTCTGGTTAAGTATATATCTCTAGGTGCTGCAATTCTCATAGTCAGTGCTTGATCAGTGCCTTTTCATCCGATTACTTATTTTAAGTCTGCCAATCTTTGCAATTTAACAGAATCTCTCAAATCTGCTAATTTCTATCGTACAAGTTAAGGTGGTTTTACAGCGACTAATATGTAGAGTATTCACTAAAAATATTTCCTCATTGATGTATTTTTTCTTTGTTATTGTTTTTTTTACTGGGATTGCCTAAACGGTATCGAGTGTAAAACAGAAGTGGTTTCTACAATACGGTTGCGTGGTAAAATGTGATAAGCCACCAAGGAAAATTTACATAGAGGATACTCGTACAAGTTAAGGGGTTATACTTTATAAGTAAGAAATGTAAGGCACGTATATTGTCTAATTGTAGTCAATCTGAATACCTGATCTACTGAATATAATAAAAAATGCTATCATTAAGTCAATACTGCCGTTACTTCTTATTCGCGTCATAAAAGCAGTTTTCTAATAGCCCAGAATGTTTAAGAACTTAGATTAAAAGTGTTATAATGATACTGAGTAACACAATTTTTGAAGTATATTTCCCGGTGCTCTTTGTAAGTACAGAGTGTCAAAGTTAGTCGTATAAATTGGTTTTCAATAAAATGTTGCATTCAAATAACCCCACACGCGGGTTTTGCTCTAACATGAGAATAAAAAACTGTGATTTCGATAAAACAATAAATTTTAAATATTTTGAGACAAACCTGGCTCAAAAAATTGATATCTGTAGTAATAGCAACAATTTCACTAGACGAAAAAAAACTATTGCTGTATATCCCGAAAACCGTGAGACTTCTGACTAAATTTTTTTCCAAACAGTAGGTCATGAAGTATTTTCAGTTCTTAGATGCGCTGTATTTTAGGTACTATTTAATAGAATTTGCAAAAATGCAAGGCGTACTTACCAAATAAAATATGAACAATGCCACTGATACTGCGTTTTTGGATCCATCATTGTAATAAGACTGACCATGGTGTACTTCGTTAATGTAGTTAAAATTTTGTGCTTCACCTAAAAAGCATACAAGAATATTCATCATGCAGGTTTGCTTTTTCCATCAGTAGTAGTAATAATAGTAATGATTCGCAACTGCTCAAAAAGTACTCGCTAAAACTCGCAATAAATATTCAAAATGTGTCAGTTGGGAGATTGTGCAGGAAAATGAATGTAATCATATTTCTTAGAAAAATATATTTGGTTAAACAAAATATTGCATACCTAAATCACACCATACACATAAATAATAAATACAAACAAAAATTCATTCTCACGAGATCAGACATAGGTAATAAATTAAACATCTTGTTGGCATGTGCATAGAACTTGATTCACTGCAAACTTACATTGCAAGTTTTCAGTGTCTTCCGGTTATTTGACTACAAGGAAGAATAACATACATAAGTATTTTAAGGGGAAAACTAAATATGGTATTTCTGAGAAATGTTTTCATAAACTCTATTAACTTAGCCAACTTCTATGCATGTGTCAGTTCAATAAACATATTGAAGAAGCAGGTAAGGTAGATGATTCTATCACAACATTAAAATTCTTAGATTCTATACCCGGCGTTTCAAATTTCTCTCATGGGGATCTCGGAAAGTGAAAGAGATACGGAATCGGTAAAATAGAAGAAATGTTGCGCATTTAGGCAACTAAGAAAAGGGCACAATTTTGTAATTCAGAGTATGTCCGGAGATGAGCAACAAAAAGAAAGACTTCTCCCTGTTCGTTTTTATTTCTTCCTGACTTCATTTGAGGTAAATAAATTGCATATTATCATTGGCACTTTTTCTCATCTAAAAATTAGCATAATATCACTATCATAATTTCAATATCACCTTTCGTCTCTTGTCTTCAATCATCAACTTTATTTATTTATGGACACCACATTGGATTTTTACAAAGGTGAATAGAATTTTGATTTCAGTAATGTAGAAGGAGGAGAAATTATTAGATAGTCATTTGTTTCATAATTTTATCAACCAAGTGTTCCTATATTTTTTGTGAACTGGGCATAGGTGAACTGTAAATATTTCCTATTTTTGATGTAATAAGCTGTAGTTGATTGATAGCATAAGACTTCAAATATCTAAATATCTTCCTATAGCTGGTCTAGGGGTACTGAAAACGGTATTTCAAGAACTCATACAAGAATTTTAGGCCAAATAAAAAGATCGACGATGTTGCATATTGCTAAAGACAAACACAAACGTTTTAATTTTATTATGATTCGTCCACATTGTTGTTAAGTGGAAGAGTAGCCGTTAAGATAAACTTCGCTATGATGTGGAAGGTTACCAATAAATTCACTTAATTATTATTATTTCATATCTATCAGATCTAAACCGATGCACAGATCTTGCATCTAACTGATAGATATTAATCTACGGTTGAGGTGTCATACAGAGAAGCTCTGTCGTACGAAAATAGTGTTTGTTAAATTCGAAAAATGGGCAAATTATCTGAATATCCATCAAATATGCTTTCCAAACACTAAAGCAACTTATTGACGTAACTTAATAAACCTGTGATAAGTTGTCAAGGTCAAGTATGAAGATATTATTTTTATTAATAAATAAGGTATGGCAACGACAATGTATGATATATTATACATCCTAGAAATCAGAATTAAAAGTTGTATTCGTCTGTGCGAAAAAACTAATGGTGTCCATAAGAAAAAATAAAGTTGATGATTGAGGGTAAGGGACCAAAAGTCATCTGGAAATTCTAATGATGCCATCTATAAAGGAGGAAAAGTGGCTATGTTTAAGCCCAAATTATTTTGGAATCTCACTTCAAATAACGCCAGGAGAAAATAAAAACCATTTTGGAAAAATTCGATTATTGTCGTTTATTCTTGGAAATACTCTGAATTGCATAACTATCTATCCAAGTACCATTCTTCTGGTATGAGTCGAATTTGAAATACCAGGCATATCGACAAGCTCTCGCATCTTTATGCATTGATTGTGAATTACTGCACGTTAATAAACATTGCAAAAATACGTTGAATTATTGGAAAATTCGTTTTTTTTTTAGAGAACCTTTCGCTGACCATACTGCATTTTCCATAAAACGGTAAAAAACTATCTTCATCTGTTCAATCGTCTTCTTGAATCTCCTGAAGCCTAAATGTGGTCAGAATGGACTGTATCTTCTCCTGAGCCCTCACAGAATTAGAAGTACTCAATTGCTTCAGCTGAGCTGCGACGTGCCGGCCAAATACATCAAACTCATCTTCGTATTCCCTAGAAGTTACGTTCATGGAATGAGGACTGTGTACTGGGGAATCTTCTCCTTCAATTTTAGCCTTTTTGGGCTTCGGCATTACAAACATGTCTTGATCTTCTTCGGTGAGGAGGAAATCTGATTCGTCTATGTCGTCATTGTAAGCACCGTCTTCTGTGAATGTGTCGTCAGAATTGTCTATCGAATTGTCGTTGGTTATTGGTTCCGACTTGATGGAGTGGATTGCCTTGATCGAGATGGTGGGCTGGAAAAAATCATAGATTACAAGATTGTAAGAGCAGCAAAATATATATAAAGTCTTATGATTCACCCGGGAAGCTTTTCTTTCACAATTTTGAATATCAACACCAGAGACATTGCTAATGATCAACGTTAGTAATTTTTGGAAACCACCAGCTGAGTCCACCCTCTGTATGGACGCAGAATATTGTAATGATTTTTTATAAATCTATTTGGCCATCCATCAGTGGTTTGACTTCAGACTTCAGTTTGATGCATATTATAACCAAGAAGTATCAGTAGATGAATTCTAGTTCAACGTATCCCAAACAATTTTGTTCATACTCAATTGTCGACCGTAGTGTTATTTTAAAATAATATACGTAAACATTTCAGGTGAACATTTTTAATGTTGTTACATTTCCATTGTGGGAGTATTTTCTGTAATATTTATTTCAAGTTATTCTTACGCTAAGGTTGAGTTGTGTAGAATTAGAATGAAAATATAAATGTACTGCGCTGTTCTATATTTTTTTTTGAGTGCATCGATTATTTAGGAACACCTTTATGTTAATCCTTTAAAAATTATCACATATGTCTTTTTGTACTCACAGGTTCATTGTTAGCCTCATTTGATTCGATCCTTAACAAGGCAGAAGGCATCTCCGTAACTCCTTTAGTTTTATTCAACTTTAAGAAATCGTTCATTTCGGCGAACCATTTGAGATTAGGTATGTATAGTCCGGTAGAACCATGCATCTTAGAGAGCTTTATTTTCTTCAGTTCCTGAAAACATCAAAGCTGTAAATGTTACGAGTGTCAGTGGGAGAAAGAAGGTTATTGCAACCTTCAACCTCAAATACTGGGCGCTGAATTTTGTGCCAAAATGTTTTTATAATACCTTTTTCGTTCGGAGCATTTTGTTACTTTAGAACGTCACCGGTGGTGTGAGGGCAATATTAGAATATGTTACTTCAGTTCAAAAAAAAAAAAAAAGGTTCAAAGCCAGTCGTTACAAGCAAAAAACAACAGTTCCGCGATATCGCTTTTTTATGTTCATTAAGGCCGGCCATATACATTTGGTTGATTTTTCAAAAAAATTTGGTATGTTATGGATCAAAGTTTTTCCTCGAGTAGTTTCCGAGATATACTATGTTAGGAAATCCGTATTCGTATTATAGCATATTATTGTGGGTTCGGTAAATGATATGTAATAGCTGTTTGACTTGAGTCGTGTACAGGGTAACCTAAACTGCATGGATGAAGTATTACAACGAGATACAAACCCTTCCATAAATTTTTGCAAGCGCTGTCGCTTTGGGAGGACATTTAAAAATGCTCCAGATCGTGTCGCACTACTGAGCTGGATGTCCATTGTCCTAGTTGTCTTTTATAAATATTCGTATTTATTTATACACCCAGCAAGCACAGATACATCATGTCGACATCATATTTATACAGGGTGTTTCCTAACTGAATATCAATATTTTAGGGGGCGATTTGTAGATCCATTTCAAGAAAAAAGCCTCATATCAATGTATATGATAAACGTTTTAGCTTTTGAAATACAGGGTGGTAAAGTTTTCAAAAATGAATAATTTTTGTTAATATACCTATCTATAACACTACTTTAGATATTTTAATGAAATTTGGCATACAGATACTATGGATCAAAAAGGCACTTTTCAATTAATCACATTTTTGTAATTTCCAGTGGTGGCGTTCGTGCGGAATTTCATCTGCCTTTTTTGGGCAGACATTGTGACGTGGTTTGGGGTTCTTTTAAGGCTGGGTGATATAGAATGTGGACAAAATAGCTGCTACTGCTATAAATCTGTATTCTTTGTTTAAATACAAAAATGCTTTACCTCATCTAACATTTATTTTCTCCCCAAATTCTGTCCCTCAAAGATCGCTATATAGTGATATATAATATACTACACGTCACTGATTTTTCTTAAAATGAAAATTATCTTGAAATCCCCATCTTTTTTAAGCAAATTTGATCGCTTGGTTTTTTAACCTGGTGCACGGGTTTCTCTTAAAGAAATAAAAACCGTTTCTATGCCATGATAGTAACAATCGTAACACCTATGGGTCACTAACCTTTTCAAAGTATATACCGGGAGTTTCAAATTCGACCCTCATTTTTGGGATCTGGGAAACTGTGAGAGATACGAAGTCGCTCAAATGGGGGCAAAGTTGCGTATTTAGGTAATTAACAAAATACCGCTTAGTGTTTTTTTTTTTTTATACTCCAACTACCACGAAGGCCTAAGGCCTAAGCACCCATTGGGTACCGTGGAGCTATAGGGGGATACATGGGAAAGGGGGGACGCCACACGGACTCTGGCGAGGGAACACGTGTGCATGCAACATGCACACATTCTGGCCCTGCCTACGAGAACCGCCGGGTGGTACTTCCGCGTTCGACAGTCAGAGACCATCTACCACCTACGGACAATCACAACATCCATGGCCAAGAGAAAAATTTCTCCTGGGACGGGACTCGAACCCGCACAGCGCACGGCGACTGATCAGGAGACCGAAGAGTCTACTACTGCGGCCACCGCTGCTGCCTAAAACAAACACACAACATCCATGGCGAAGGCGAGATTCGAACTCGCGGCCCGGCCGGCCGGCTGATCAATAGCACGACACTCTGACCCACGCGGCCAACCGAGGTCCCAACCGGTCCCACCGCTTAGTGTGTTTGGATATTCAAATTAATTCCGGAAAACAGAGACGGAAAAAACCGAATTTTCCCAAAATCGATTCGAAAAAGTGGCATCGTTAATCTGCAATTTATTTTAAAATCTGACCAATAAAGTCAGCAAAAAATTAAATCGATTTTGGGAAAATTGGTTTTTTCTAGTCTATCCGGAAGTACTTTGAATTTCGGAAGTTTCTAAGCGGCATTTTATTAGTTACCTAAATACGTAACTTTGCCCTATTTAAGCGACTTCGGATCTCTTACCCCAATGGTGAGGGTCGAATGTGAAACACCCTATATAGTAAATAGGGGAAATAGCTGTGACAAATTCACTTAGATGGCGCTACTCTATGTCATTTTATCTCGGATACTTTTTTGGAGCGGGAATGTAGCATTAGGTTGGCTATCTTCAAGTAGAATACTTTTAAGAAAACAATTATGGTTTCTTATAATCTCCAAATAATAGTGTATTTTCACTTTTCCACAACCCACTACTTGTAAGATATATTTACGTACCTAGTCAACAAGGGCGGATTTAGGAATCTGTTTAGGGGGGGCAGCGGTGATCACATCATTCATGTTCAGGAAGATATGTTCGTATCTGGGGCGGTTAAAAATCACTTGAGCATCGTTCCTGAGAGCAAATGCCCTTGTGAAGGGCGAGGGTAAATATGTCTAGGGGAGAGAGCGCAATATTATACCATTTTCTTAAAAAAAAATAGCAGACTCGGATGTCTAGACTCTCTCTAAATCCGCTCTTGCTAGTCAAGTATGTTCATTTGACGAAATTATGGGAATCCATTAAAAATGCAACTTTTTCGTTCTATCTATAGGTCGACATTCGGGTAAACATACGTTTATATTTTATGAGTACCTATATAAAAACAAGTTTGGCATCCAGATTAGTAGTGGAACACCTTGTACCAGCCTAAATATTTTTTAAATGTATTCTCACAAAGGCAGTGCAAGATCATCCTAAACAATTTTAGAAAAAAGTTTTATTTCGGTGAAGTATTTCATTCATACAAGTTAGGGTCGCCTTGTAAATGTGTGAGAATTGCAATGTTAAATGGGGTGAATGATGAATGGATGAATCTTGAAATTAGAGGCATTTCGGCCACCATAACGAGCCAGTGCATACGCCGCTTAAGCGGGCCCTTATGCACCTCTACATAAATGGGGTAGCAGGGATAATAATAAGACTATAACTAGATATCATAATATAACTACTATATTTGTATAACGTATACCGAGTCCACAATAAGCTGTAATAGGTTACGGACTGCCCCACTACCTGTGGAAAAACTATAGGGCCAGGGACTTTTTTTTCTATGCGTTGAGATCTATACCATACTATTTAAAAAACTAGTCGAAAGCCACTTTTCATAAGGTTTCTGCCCGGTCTTTTATAAAAGCTTTCTCGGAGTTTTACCTACCTGCGAATAGGTAGACCTCAGAATGCGTATCTTATTCCTAATCTCGGTAACTCCGAACCCCTTGATGTTCATTTTCTTTTGGATATCCTTGTATGCCTCTTCTCTGTTAACTCTGTTGTTGTAGCTTACTGCCTTCCAGTTCCAGAGACATTCATGCGATCTGTACAAACGGACAAACTTGAGCGTTGTGTCGCCATCCCATCGAGCCGCTTGTTGAGCTGCAGTTGTCGATCTGGAAAATATTGAACATAATAATAATAATTGTTGTTGTTTATTATCCAATTGACAATTATGTATATGACTCGTCAGAAAAAAATATGTATACATTACGTACACTCACACACACCTATATAATAAATATTACACATAAATAAAAAACAACAAACAAAGAAATAATCAACTACATTCAGGACAAAGTTTTAAATACTGATAAAATTACTCACAAAATACAAATACTTATCAGTGAGGTAGCTTTTCAACCTAAATTCTAAAAAATGTTCAATGATTGTGCTCTTTTTATGTGCTCTGAAAGCTTACTTAATCTTTTTGGTCTCAAGATGTGGGGATCCGGTTGCCAATTTTGAATTTAGCAAATGGAACATGAATACCAAGTTGCTCACATGTTTCGATATCGTGTACGTACCTATTCCAATTATAATTGGTTTTATTGACATATGCGGATACAGCCCTTTCATAAATAAATAGGCCAGGTATTGTTAAGATCTTCAGTTTCTTAATCAGCTCCTTACAGCTGTGTGTGCTGTTTACACCCAGTACACATCGAACAACTCTTTTTCGGTAAATATCGATTTCATATTTTTAATCATTCAAGGGCAACTGAGAAAACATCACTGAATTTAGAACTGAAAAGTCCATTCAAATGTAGAAAATTCCAGTATAGCGTCCACATGAAAAAACAAAGTCAGAAAAAAAATAAAACTGATTTTGGGATAAATCTGGTATGCGAAACAAATAACAATCTGATAATTTCAAGGCCTACATAGAAAATCCTGTTTTTTATAATAACTATGGTTTCCCAATGCCAATGTAAGACTTATTATACCTTTTAAATCATAAAACCATAAAAAAATAAAGATGATTATGTAGGACAAGAGAGGAAACTCCATATTGAAACTCTAATCATGCGTTCTTGTAGAGGAGAGAAAGTGGCAATGTTGGCGTGCAATTAATTTTGAAATTCCACTAAAAATGAAATCAGGAAAAATTAAAACGATTTTGGATAAATTCGGTTTTTCCCGTCTCTCTCCGGAAGTAGTTTGAATTTCGAAACTTTGACCGGCAACTTTGCCCTATTTAAGCGACTTCGGATCTGTTATTGTTTCTGAAACACCAATGGAGAGGTTCGAATGTGAAACACCTTGTATACACAATCACAGCTAGAGTAGGGACTATGTTACGCTGTTAACATGAATTTGCGTGAACGTATCATTATAAATGTTATAAAAGTCGAGCCATAATTTGGAAAACATGTTGGTAAGGCAAGCCAATAGGGCGTATGCAGAACTACTCTCTATGGAAACCTATAATTATGTGAACATAATATTAAAAAAATCATGAACGAATGGTCACTGTAATTTTTTATTTTATTTAACAATGAATTTAATCAATAAACAGGAGTTTAAAGCTACCCGAGGTCACCTTCAATGTGACAAAATAAAAGTATGTGTTCCGTGTAGATTTCTGTATGTTCCATACTTATTATGGCGCTATTGACTTATTTTGTGCTTATTTTCAACAAACTTTGAGATGAAATTACTCATTTCAATAGTCCAAAATTGAAATTAGTATCACAAATACTATTTTTTGCTAAAAAAAAAAATGGAATAATTTTTTATGAACATAGAACAAACAAAGGCGGGATGCCAAAGCTGAACGTCAAGACGTCACATCTGAAAACCAGCGACAACAAAAAAAATAACAACTGTCAATGTCACTGGTAACTTTTTAACGACAGATAACGGAGTGACATCATTGTACTCGTAGATCCAATTTTGCGGGAAAACTTAAACTGTAACCTTGAAATAACATATGCTTCAAATAAATTGTTTTTTTTGCTTTTTCGTATATTATTTAGGGTAAAAGTATATTGTATGTTCCGTATTTTACCTCACAATTGGAATAGTCATAAATTCGATATGACAACAAAAGTACCCAAACGTCTTGTATAAAAAGTCTAACTTCAATTGAAGTTTGAATGATAAACTTCAGACGTTAACAATATCCTAGTAGTAAACTTTCGCACTTTCAATTCTCGGAGTTTAGCTCTTTGCAGTGGCAGATCCACCCTTATTTAAAGGGTAATGTAAGAGCTTACCGCAACTGACGAAACTTCGGGCAGAACATGCTTTTACTTGCAGATTAAGCACTACTCTACAATGTTAGTGAACTTAACGGTTACATCAATAGAATTCTCTACCACACTATATAAATATATGTAGTAGTAAAGTGATGTGTACTTACTTTTGTTTGATTTCGCAAAGGGGCACTGAGGACACCACACCAATGGTGGGTTGTACAACTGTAGTCATGTTGAACTTGACCAATTTCCTATCTTACAAGCTTCCAGCCACTGTCTTCCACTTCCACGGCTGCCTTGCTATGCGATCGATACTGCCGGCCTGTGCCCTCCCCACGCCGTACAGGCGACCAAATGCTGTAAACTATGCCGTAGAACTTGCAACGCCGCTTTCGTGCCGCGTTACGCCACGCGCGTTTAGTTGCACACGCGAGTGCTGTGTCGACTGACGCCCGCTGATACCAGTAACGATTTTTTGAGGGGGCGCAGCGACGCCGCGAGTTGGAACTTGCGCAACAGCCGCACTGCTGTTAGCAATATTCGTTTTATTTTGGTATCCGTTGTAAACGAATAAAAATGATTCTACATTCACGTAATGAATGCAAACCTTGTAATAAAAATCTACCGAGGTTTTAAGGGCGCACCTATACCGCGACTTGGAATTTGCGCAACGCTGCTCGTGATAGAGATGGCAGTATTCGTTTCACTTTTTTGTTTACTTGATACATATTAAAACTATTTTAGATTTTGTGCAGCCGCTGAGGGGGCGCAGCGACGCCGCGAGTTTGAACTTGCGCAATAGCCGCACTGCTGTTGACAATATTCGTTTTATTTTGGTATCCGCTTTATACGAATTAATTGATTCTACACTCTCGTCATCAATCGCAAATCTTGTAAGAAAAATCTAACGCGGTTTTAAGTGGGCACCGACCCCGTGACTTAGAATTTGAGCAACGCTGCAGTAGGTAGTGATGGCAGTATTCGTTTCACTTTGTTGTTTACTTGATACATATAAAAACTATTTTACTTTTTAGCAGCCGCTGAGAGGGCGCAGCGACGTTGGGAGTTGGAGCTTGCGCATTAAAATGGTTCTACACTCACATACTGACGTACTCAATCTCCAACCTTGTATGATATTGCGATACGCTGCGGTGGATAGTGATGGCAGGATTCGTTACACTTTGTTATCTTGATACATAAAAAAACTATTTTGCTTTTTGAGGGGCCGCTAAGGGGTTGCAGCGACGCCGCGAGTTGTAATTTGGGCGACAGCCGCATTGAATAGTGTTGGAAATATTTGTTTCATTTTGGTATTAGTTTCATACAAAAATGATTGTTGACTCACATAAAGAATTACAAACCCTGTAACAAAAATCTTCCGAGATTTCACAGAGTTGGAATTTCCTTAACAACCGCAGTGACCAGTGATATCAGTATTTGTTTCATTCTGTTGCTCACTTGTTACGAATAGAAACTAGTCTATTTTTTGAGTGGCTGCTGAGTAGTTGCATTGACGTCGCGAATGGAAATTTCTGCAACAGCTGCTCTGGATCGAGATGGCAATATTAGTTCCGTTTTGGTATTCGTTTTGTCACGTATAAAAGCACTTATATAGGGTGTTAATGAACTGTGCGGCGCAGTCCTGAATCAAATATAAGTAGAAAAGTTCATATAAACATGAGTTCTGAAAGCTCTGGTTTCCAAGATACAGGGTCATTCATTACAATAGAATGCCAAGTTACCACTTGCTAGAAAATAATTATGAATTCCAGTGGCGTATCGGAGAACAGTCTCACGAATATATTGACAAAAAATGTACGCCAATGACTTAAAAAAACATATTTGTTTGGAATTAAACAGTCAAAAGTACAACTATTTTGTCCCTTGGTATCTGTTGGCATCTTACTTCATTTTCGCTTGTACGTAGCCGCAGGCAACCCTGCTGTAATCTATTCTACTATTATTTACCATTCACAAAATTAAGTTTTACAGAAAAATAGATACCTGCAGTACGGCAAGTGTTTATATGGCGGAGCTGTCTAAGCACAGCGTTGCCAGATGATATTGACAGAATTTCGCCAGAACAAGCACAACCAATCCCTCAGAATTGCTACTTTTTCAAAAAATACTCCCTCAATTCACAGTCAATGAATGGAAAGGGGTAATTATAGTTCACAGAGCGGGAGATGCTTTCTATCCGCGGAACGTGTTTTCCCAAAGAACATTATATCCTCAAAAAATTCCCCAAAATAAATTTGTGGGAAAATCGCCCAACATGGCATCCCTGTCAAAGCACACTGGTACTCAAGTTTTGGGGTCGTTTTTCAAAATGACGGCGCCCCTTGCCATTATGTAACAAAAATCACACATATTTAGCTCGGATTTGGCTGTACTTTCGGCAGATTTTCTACCAAAAGCAGCTCGATTTAGGGCTAAAACTGGACGAAACCGAAAGTTCGGTCGGATACTAATTATTGCTGTTGCTATTCTACATCGAAAACGATACAGAAACACATATTCAATAAACAAAGTTGCGTTATACTGTGTAACAGTTGCTGCACAGATGATCGCATGCACGAAATTCATAAAAAAACATGACTTACCAAATTTCACATTGTAAAACAATAATGCTGTAAATATTAACAACGTATAGGAATTCATGGTGAATACCTTTGTCGAGATTCAGGCAATGATCAGACTATCAATCTTCATGCTACCATTTCTAATTTACTCTGATGAACGTACTTCAACCAGTTATCTGTAAAGGAAAGTAGTAGACAAATAAAAAATAAACCTTGTATGATTAGATGTATTAATTGCTCAACGCTGTTACACTTTTTAAAATTAAGCTTTATTCGGAGATTCACGCCCCAAAGCCTGATTTTAAAGCTGATCACCTTGCGCAAATTTCACCAAATAGAAAAAGACCTTTTGATGTAATGGATCTGTTGAATATGGTCAATTTCTTCTAAAATATCTCTCAAACTAGAGAAAAATCATACAGTTTGTGCAAGTTGGGCCCATAATACTCATATCAAGTCAAGAAATATTTCATAAATCACCTGGGTTTGCTGCAAAAACCTATTTTTTCATTTGATCATGGGCTTATAATTTGCCACCAGGGCACACATTCTACCAATCCATAAGAAGCGTCCTAGTGGCAATTCAGACGATCGGAAACAAGTATCATATCCATTTTATAAATTAAAAACAAACATATATATCTGAAAAAATTGAAAAAAGGATGTATCGGTTGTTGACTAGGTGAAGATTTCAACAATTCTTTAATAAATTTCCATTGTAAACATATTTTTCTATTTCTGTTGAGAGTAATTACAAAGTAAGAAAATGGTCCTTGAGGCGACATTGTTTATAAGTTGAGTGAGCACCAGTAAAATGTAGGGATGTTTTTCTATATGAATATCGAGTTCATGTATTATAGCAGTCAAATTAGGTCGTTGATTTTCGTCTTTGTAGGTTAAAATTCGACTTGATAAATTCTGCATAAGCACAAATTAAATGACAGAATGCTTATTTCTTAATTAACATGGGGTGAGTATTCAATTTACTTGACTAACTCCTGTAATAATCTATCTTTCCAAATGCTTATATGTGTATTTTCCTGACTTATCGATATATCGCTATGATACCGTTCGCGCGCTCTACTGAACGGCTAGGAAGTGCGGGCGGACTCGAACCCTACCTTGCTGATTGGACGACGAGCCTGCGCAACCGTGATTTTATATTGTTGCATTAGCACTGCATTTAGACATAAGCCTCTTGTAAAATGGAGCACGAAGTGTTGTTCTCTCCTTAGACTCTCTGTATTAGAACTCTTCAATATATTAACAAAGAAGCATAAATACGTTACAGGCATACCTTTATTACAAATAGAAGAATGTTAAATATTTATCTAATAGCTGGGTTTCGATATTTCCATCTGTTTGATCGAATTTGTACCTTTGTCGCAAATTTTGTGTCCGTGAAAATTAGGTTTTTATAGTTAAACTAGGTGATCTATTAGCAAATTGATATGAGAATTAGCAACTCATCTTCAACAAATGATAATGATTTTCTAGTTTGAGAGATAAGCTACAAGAAATCGATCCATTAGTTCAAAAAAGTTTTCCAATTGGTCGAATTTTCGTTCTAGGCGGAAAATTTTCTTGCCCCGGATGACAAAATCTGGTCTAAACGACGATTTTTAAAAAATAATACAGGTACACAGAAAAAAGTGGTGTGTCATATGGGTTCCATTATGTTTTCTATGTTGTTTTTGCCACTGAACGCGAATCTGAAGAATTGGGGTTCGATTGACAAATATGAAAGTAACATTGACATCGTGACTATGGATTATAGTATTCTTGGTGGATGTACATGTCTAATAGCAGTGCACACTCAACAAAATACCAGAATCGATAATCCTGATGTCGAGGACGCTTATATTTTGTCCATCAACCCCTAATTCGGACTTCAAATTCGTATTCAGTGGGAACACACATCACATTTTTTGTGAACTGTTGAACCACATCGCATAACTAAGAAATTTTGAGAGCCTAGTAACCAGTTGGATTCTCATATGATGATGTCCAAGACAGCTACAGGCAAAAGTAAGAAAAAATAAAAATCGCTTAAATTTTTTTAACATTTCAGATGATTTTTGGATTTTTTTTTTGTATTGTTGTCTTTAATATTAGTTAAAGTTTTATCATTAAGAAGATCCTGCCTCCGGTAACAATGGGAAAATTAAGTGATACAGGCCCGATACATAATTCGAAATAACTTGGCAATCGTTGGCGTTGCGTGGACGGCGCGCTGCTGCATCGTCGCGGCGGTCACTGCCGACTGTGCAACGGGTAACAAACCCCACCGCTACAGAAGACATTTTATATATTTTAGCAATATTTGGATATTAGGAATACGTACCGCTGTCGCGTTCTACGATGCTTTTGTAAATAGTGCCAACTATACACATATACCGGGTGCGCCATCTTTTATATCGGTATTGAAACATCGAATGACTTTGATATCTACCAACCGAGTGATTTGGATATACGTATTTCTGAAACGTCAATTCACTACAATTTTAGTCATGAATCGCTTTACACCAAAACAACGCACCGAAATAGTCACAATGTACATTGAAAATCGTCGTTCAGTTGTGTTGACGCAACGTGCATATCGTCGAAAATATCGTGGCAAACAGTCTGACAACACTAACCGTCGTTTGGTTTCGGATTTTCTCAAGTACGGGACAGTGGGAGATCATCAACATACCGTTCGTCAACGACCAAGACGTACCAATGAATTGGTTGAAGCGGTCAGAGACAGCGTTGTCCAGAACTCAAAAGTGTCGCATCGTCACCGCGGTCAGCATTTTGGCATCAGTGGAACCACGTTGTGGCGCATTTTGAAGGATGATTTGCATTTGTTTCCTTATAAGGTACAGTTAAAATAAAAAGTATTGCCAACTGACCGTCCACGTCGCTTGGAATACGCCCAAATAGTCGCTCGCATGGTTCATGCTGAACCTGATTTTTGGACGCAAATTGTGATGACCGACGAGGTCCATTTCACGCTCTCTGGCGGCGTTAATAAGCAAAACTGCCGCATTTGGGGGACGGAAAATCGACATGAGATCCACGAAATGGCGTTGCCTGACCGGAAAGTGACTGTTTGGACCGGCGTTTGCGCCAAAACCATCATTGGGCTATTTTTCTTCAACGAAAACGAAACAGTCGATGGAAATCGATATCGGTGGATGTTGGCTCATTATGTCTGCCCACAAATGCGTGAAAAAGGTCTTGATGGTTACTGGTTTCAACAAGACGGTGCGCCATGCCACACCGCAAATGAAACAATCCAGTTTCTGCAACGAAAATTCCCTG